CCCAAAAAAAAAAAAAAAATAGAACTAGCAGAAAAATACAAAACCATTAGAATTAGAAGGATGAGAGGCTCAATTTCTCACGACTGCTCAACGACTGATCTGCCGCCAAGCCAAGCACAAATATATAATCGACTAAAATCCTCAAGATTTGAGTTTCTTAGAACATGATAATCGAAAAAAAAAAAGATTTGAAGGAAACAAAACAAATTTGGAAGGAATAAAGAGTCCGGAGCAGAGAAATCAGGCCTGAAACTCACCTGCAACAGAGTGAAAGCGGCAAAGTGAGAAAAACTCGGGAACGAAGAAGAGGAAGTAGACGAAATGGTTGTATACAAAATGGTCGGATTGTTCATTGCTGACAGCTGAAGCCCGCTACGATGGCTACAATTTATTGGAACAGAAAATTGATTGTTATAAATTTTTCTTCTCATTGCCTCCCCAGAATGGTGGCTTTCGAGGTAGATGCATGAACCCTGATATTTTCTTATATTTTTTCCCGCGTGGGGCCCTTTGCTCCTTAAAAGATTTAATATTTTATTTTCTTAATCGGTTACCAAAGATATTCAATATGTAAGCTTCAAATTAAAAATAACGTACATTATTAAACGAATTATTAACCGAAGTTTATATTGTAGTAGAGCCTTCTTCTTCCACTGAGATGACCCCTTTTCCTTTTCTACCCCGACCCGAGAAAGGTTTTTTCTTTTAGTATCGAAAGCGAGAATGTTGACTTGAGTAACACAAACATTAATGAAAATTCAACATTCAGTCTCCAAAATGCTATTCTAACAACTAGGTTTAAAGAGGGTTATAGTAATCTAAAAAACGATGATGAAGAATGAAATTCTCGTATGGTCTTAAAATAGGTTTGATTGGATTCACCGAGTACCGAGTATTTCTACTCAATTTGATTGGTCATATTTGGGCTTTCTCTTTCAGTTTTTCCCTCAAGGTTTTTAAAACGCCTTCTGTTAGAGAGGTTTCCACACTCTTATAAAGGGTGTTTCGATCTTCTCCCCAACCGATATGGGATTTTCATAATCCACCCTCCTTTAGGGCCAGTGTCGTCGCTGGTACTCGTTCCCTTCTCCAATCGATGTGGGATCCCCCAATTCACTTCCCTTTGAGGCCCAGTATCCTTGCTGACACACATCCTCTTTCAGGGCCCAATGTCCGCCCAGTATCCTTGCTGACACACATCCTCTTTCAGGGCCCAATGTCCTCACTGGCGCTTATTTTCTTTTCCAATCAACGTGACATCTCCCAATCCACCTCTCTTTGAGGTCCAGCGTTCTTGTTGACACACCGTATCGTATCCACCCCCTTCGAGGCTTAACCTCCTCGCTGGCATATTGTGATGTTTGGCTTTGATACCATTTATAATCCAAGCCCATCACTAATAATATTATCTTCTTTGAGCTTTCCCTTAAAGATTTTTAAAAAGCGTTTAAGATGGAGATATTTTCACTCTTATAAGTGTTTCGTTTTCTTCCCCAACCGACGTGGGATCTCACAAAATCTCTCGTCTCCATTTAGTTAAACGATGAAACTATTGACCGATCTCAATACGATATCGCTCCACCTAAGCATGTGCATCGAGATAATTCAAAAATGAAAAATACAGTTCTTTTGAGTTCATGTATGCATAAACAATGCAATATCTACAAAAACATAAGAGGAGAGAAGTAAAAGATACGAACACAGACAACTTCATATGAATCTTTCTTTGTGCTTTTCATTCTTGTGAGGGTTAAATTTCTTTTACACAGTAATCTGCAGAGACCAAATGTTTACAATTCCCCAAAGGCCTCCACAGCCACACACACAGCTCAAGCTTGGAAGGACTTATTATTTTCCCCTTTTTTTTTTTTTCCTTTTTTTCTTCATCTTTTTTTCTCCCTTTCATCTGGGAATTTTCTTACATACACATTAAGAACTACAATATATAAAAAATGGCAGATTCCTCCACTGCACACTCTTAACTTATGCAGCTACCTGTTGTTTTGGAGGATCTTCCACTTTCCACTCCTAAATAAGTTTGTGCTGAGCTCCCACTTTGAATGAACTAGCACTTCCCCTATCCAGTTGCAGTGTTTTCAAACGGCTTTACTCAAAAAGGAGAAACCAAGAAAGAAACGAACGCTGGCTGTTCGGACTCTTCGAGCCATTGAACAACTTCTTCAATGTAAATGCACATGAATCTTTTCTGTTCACTCCGATATTAGATTCCCAGAGTTTGTTTTCCGAACAAGCCGTTGAAGACGTCGTAATCGAGTAATAAGCTGAGAGAATGACGGCCTCAGTTGCGTGTCCCTGCAAGAAGAAGGAAACTTAAAGATGTAGGAGCGACCCGAGAAGGACAAACTATCACACAATGAACCAAACTGCAAATATGGATGGAATGATGCTTCTTGTAAATTCTAGTAGTATTAGAAACTGAAAGCAGATGAGATTATGGGTATTTGTTGTTTGAAACTTACGTTTGCCAACAATCGCAAATGATCTGTGCTACTGCTGGATCAACATCTTCTGGGATTTCCAGGCGCCTATTCTGGAATCCTACAGCTCCTACAACCTGCATTGGGTTCAAACCTTTCCACGGTATGCGACATGTTGTCAACTCCCACAAGATCACACCGAAACTATACACATCACACCTGCATACCACATAGGCACTATCAGTATTTTGTCAAACTCAAGCAAAAGATACGTCATCTGGGTTCAATGCCCACGTCGAAACTTACTTCTCATTGGCCGGTTCATTCCTTAGAACTTCTGGCGCCATCCATTCGGGCTACAATTAAGCAGAAACAATAAACATTCATCGGTTGCTATTGCAATACCAGATATGCCAGTTATCAAGGTAACATTTCAATGAAAACTTAAGGCAGAATATCAGCCCGACGACTATCAAGGTTATTACCGTTCCAGCAGTTGACTTTGAAGATAGAAACGTGTTCTGCTTGACACGTGACAACCCAAAATCACAAACCTATGAAGATATAGAAGTTAGATACTAGAAGAGATCAATCTCAAATACATCAAAACTTTATGCACAGGATAGTTTCATATACCTTGACAACCCAGTTTTTATCCACGAGGAGATTGGGGGACTTGAGATCTCTATGAACAATAGTTGGATGACTTGTGTGTAAGTAGTTCATTCCTTTGGCCTGGAAAACGAAAGATTTCTTATAAGGAAAAGGGCTAACCATATCTAGTGGGGAGAGTATCTTTTTCTCTTTTCTAACTCCTTACCACATCGAAAGCCATTCTCAGTCGCCTCCTTTCATCGAGTTGAGAATTGGGACGATGCAGTAACCTATACAAACTTCCCCTGCAATGTTTCAAGGTTTAATCATAGAGGAGATTAGGAGACGATGGATATAGCTCAACTTGCTTTAGGTGCGATGCACTAATGAGGCTTCTCAACAATGACATTTTTTGCGCACAGAGATATCTAAGCAGAATGTGCAATCCAATGTTGATAAGGTAACAAGTTATATATGTATCATAACCAAAAATTTCCCTCCATATTTGCATTAACATCAACAATTCGACATTTAAATCGATGCATTTGACTAGAGTCGAGTGATAACTGAAACTAACGTGACGTTAAGTACATGCATAATATCACAAAATAACATTGACGACCCACGGCGGATTGCACATTCAGGACATGGGACACGATAATTGTTAAGCTCAAATAAAGAAAGAAACAACATAATCAACCTGGGAAGAAATTCTGTGAGGATTGAGAAATGAGGAGGGCGAGTGACTGCTCCCATGAAAAGGACAACATTAGGATGCCTCAGTCTTAACATGATTTCAACCTGCATGAATAAGCAGGAGCTTAACGAACTAAAAGAAAGCCCTTAAACAGATTATTATCACTTAACTAATTTCCAAACAGAACCTAAAAGTTCGAACTTAATACTTACTTCACATTTTAATTGGACCAAAGCAGCACCGGAAAAATCTTGGTCTAAGAACTTCTTCACAGCAACTTCCTGTAATCTAATGTTGTAAGCCCTGATTTTTCTAATGTTGCATATTCTAATGCATTAAAGTTTTTAACAAAGCAAAAGGCAAAAGAAAAACTGTGTGATATGACAATGCATATGCTTATCTGTTGAAACTTACAGTCCCATTCCAATCTGCTCGATAAACCTCGCCATACGATCCTGAGATACGAGGAAGGTATTAAGTACCCCAAACACAGAAAATACAATATAACAAAACCCTTTCATCCAATCAAAGCTTTTAAAAATATTTATGAAATGGAAACAGAAACGTTTTATAAGTGATTTCTCGAACAAACCCTTTCAGATTATGAATGATAACAGTAATAATTAAACCCCCAGTTCATATTTACCTAAAATTTGATTGGCCCCAGTAGTCAGTTTGTATTCTTAATGTGTTTTAAGAAGGGATTCAGTGATAAATTCACAAGTCTTACCTATACCAATACGTTCACCAATGTGAAGATCCTCCCAAGGAATTTCCCATTCTGCAACTTCGCCCAATATCGGGTTGATCGTCTCGCTGTGGCCATCACTAGCATGCAGGTTACTATCATCAAGTTCTATCAAATTTTCTGATGGACTCTCACGACTCTCACGGTTATCTTGCAACCATCTTCTTTCTTCATCCACTAAGGTACTTCCTAGTTGTTTTTTATGAGAATTGGCAACAGAGGTTAACAAAACACCATCCACATGTTCACGATGAAGAGTCCCATTAACATCAACCAATTTTCCTGCTTCACCATTAACATCAACAAACACAAACCCCTCATTCATACTCTGAGGCCAAAAAGTACCATGATTGTTCGCATGTGCCTCAGGTTTTTGTTCTTCCGTTGATCCCACAGTAGACGCTTTCTGCTTATTTTCATGGACAATATTGTTCAAATACTCTGCTTCAGCAGAAGACTGTCCCTGGCTTGCCAACACAAAAGAGTTGCACTGAAACCCAACATCCATGCCTTTCCCGTTGATCGGATACATTTGGTGAATCGCTTTCCTTTCACCATTTCCCTGTGAATCTATATCTGAAAACAGATCTGCAGGAGGTGATGCACCACTCTCTAACAATACAGCATGTAATTTCTGTGCAAACTCTGGGTTCTTTGCAGCACTAATGACATACTTCGATACCTTTTTAACTTTCTTCTTTTGTGCAGATGCCGACTGTGCACATGCACCTGATGAACTTTCAAATGCACTGCTTTCTGATTCTAGAAGCTTCTCAAAATCATAATCCGAACTCCCATTTAGAATTTCTTCAATAAAGTTTCTGCCGTTTTCTTTTGATTGAACACCTAAATCTGAAGCTTCTTTGGATACTAAGTTGCAAACATTTTCTACTCCATCTTGAGTAGATGAAATGAATACAGCTTCAGCTCCTTCATTTTTTAATACCGGTGTATCTTCAGGAACTGCTATAACATCTGCGG